ATCGATGATATTTTGAATAAATAATATAATTTTAGTGATATTTTAAAAAAAATATAAATTTCTGTAAAAAATGACATTTCAAAAATGGTATTTTAAACGATTTTTCTATATTTTATTGCTTACAAACTTTTACCGTGTTTTATTAATAAAAAATTGATTTTTTTTTTATAACTCCACCTGATACCAAAACAGTGGTAGTAGAAAAAATAGTAAGATAAGAAAGAAAATAAATTGACATAAAATACATGGAAAAAAAAGTATTCCTCTTCGGCCGTATTTACCCAATCAAAGGATCATTGTCAAAAAAATTGGAAGGTCGAAGAGTAAATCCACCGTGAAGAGTTGGCATTACTGGAAAATCTTCTTGGTATGGAATGTGATGAAACCCAACATTGTACCACATCACTATGTCTTTGTTCTCTATCTCTCTGTTCCTGTGTTCTCAAAAACACAAATCAAATTTTATTTCATTTCCTTAAAAATTTAAATAATTGAACTATAAATTAGTCGATTTAACCAAAATTTTGATAAAAAATACTCATTTGAATCAGGATAAATTACTCGTCTACATGAGAATTACTTATTCCAATAAGTAAAAAAATACGACCAATAAAATTATTTTTCCAAAATTATTTAAAATTAATTTACAAGCCCCAAAAAATATCCAAATCCGCATCTAATTGTTACCTATTCGAATAATGATTATAAATTATCAAAAGTATTTGTATCCTACTCGTATTCGGTATCATCCAATCTATATATGTTTTTTTAATTTGAGAAATTTTTAAAAATGCCATTTTTCAAGTGTCACTTTACAAAAATGTCATCTTTTTACAATTTTTACAAAAATACCACTTTTTCAAAATTATTTATTCATTATATCATTTATGTTTGAGTTAACTATGTTGTATTAGCGTTTAGTTTTGAAGGTTTAAGGGGTTTTAAGTGTCAAAAATTTTTCTAGGGTTTAGAATTTTAAAATTTAGGCTCTAAAAAATTATAATTAGTGGCATTTTTGCAAATAGACACTAAAGTGGCATTTTTACAAATGTGAAAAAAAAAATGGCATTTTTGTAAATCTCTCTTTTGATTTCGGCTTTATCCAATCTCTGTCTTTTTAATTAAGTACACTTAGATATATTAGTATTTAATTTGTACTCCATTAATAAGGGCCTAACATAAATGAATGATTAATTTAATTAAATCTTTGACTTAATTACCTGCTACTCCATACAGCTAAGCCATCATCTCCACGGCTCCTATCACTGTAAAACCCACCGGCCCATCTCTCTGACCGGTTATAAGCGGTTACCCAAACCGGGTATTTCGTGTAACCCGCTCTTATCTCCGGATAATCATCGTCCGTTAAAAGCGAAGTGACCGGTAAATGCTCCGGTATCAGCCGGTAGCCAACCATATTTCCTATTTTCGTCTTTTTTTGTGGGTTAACTATTAACAGCTCAACCGGCTCCGAGCCGAGCCGAACTCTACCGTCAGCTTCTGTTTTTGCCGTTTCTCTAACGACCGTCCAGTAACTCTTCCTCGGAGATGACGATTTGTTGACGTCCGTTACTCTTACCGTTTTAAGTTTGGCTTTCACCAAGGAATTGCCGTTACCGTCAACGTCAAGATCTAAATAGTACGTTAGGTAATGGTCGTGGTTAACGGCGATCGTGTTCTTCGCCACTAGTGTCCCGTAAACGTTTTCTGTTATTTGATCGTTTGAAGTGTACGACGTCGCTTTTACTTCCAAAACTCCAGTCAAACCCACCTATAATAAATTATCAAAATATTAACCCAAAATTAATTTTTAAAACTTTCAAAACGTCGTATAAAACAGTATATTTGCATGATAACATAATTTTGAAAAAACTTACATGTAAATAAAAGAGCGTATTGTATTATCCAAATTTAAAACGCGATATTAAATAAAATAGTGTTTCTACATATAGGATAATACTTTCTAAAAATATGGTTTTTTTTTTTTTTTTGTATCCATGTGACATATAACATAACATTTTTTACCTATGATATGCAATTTTTTTATCCAAATTTAACCAACAAATAAACTCTAACTCTAAATAAAAAATTAGAGGGAGCATTAACTACGCATTACCCCAACTCTAATAGCTCCATTCTTTTTAAATTCCCAATCCACAATATAATCATAGTTTCCAAGTGTGGCCACCATTCTAACCACCAAACTTATATCACCTTCACCACTAGTAATCTGCACAAACCAATTA